GGCTCTGAATGCTCGGCTCTGAATGCTCAGCTTTGGATGCTCTACTCTGAATGCTCAGCTCTGGACGTTCGGCTCTGAATGCTCGGCTCTGGATGCTTGACTTTCTGTTTGAATGATGCTCCAGCGGCTAAAGTTCAATTTTCTGAACTCCATTGTTGAACACTGGGACAGGCAGCTGGACCCCTCCATGCCGCTGCCCCATAGACTTTGCACTTAGCTTTGTTGCCCAGAATGCACCCTGTGTGAATGCAGCTTTAGGCCTGATATGAATCTGCAGGTAGAAAACTGTGTTTTGGGACATCAACAGATAAATCACTGAACCTGATGTGTTTGCTGCTCAGTGGAGGTCAGGCTGAAAAGATTCCTCTGCATCCTCTAAAGCTAACAGTTGAGTCTGATTGCCCCCCCCCCCCAAGCAGAACGCCTCAGTAAAACGATCCAAAGATTTGCAAACGATGACATTCAGCCAGGAAAAATGATCCTAGAATATGATCTCTAAAGTAAATGAGTTTGTTTAAGGGCAGCTAACCGTCCTGAAGCTGATGTGATGTGTGCAGCAGGGCCTTCTGAGGCCAGATAGTCAGGTATATAGATAAAGGTATATAGATCAGAGTAAATGGTTAAAGTCCAACTCACTATGGTGGCATGTAGAGATGGAACCGCTTCCTTACCGTGGAGCTCAGGGGTGTTTTTCTGGTGGACGTCACAATGAAAGCAGAGTCACCATCACTGAGGCAGATGGCGGAAAGGCTTCCATAAGGTTTGGCTTTGGTCGGTGTTTTCTTGTTGCTTAGTGAGAGCAGAGTCTTTCCTGAGGAACATCCTGATGATGTTACATCAGAAGCTCAACATCATCAGCAAACATGTGACCTTAGCTTCCCTCAGCACCCTGTCATCCATCTCTTTTTCTGTTTTCCTCATCATGACCCGTGGTTCTCAGAAGCAGGTCCGGATACAGCTCATTGATCAGCAGGTCTGTCCCTACCCCCCCACTGTCCTTTGCTGCATGGGTTGATTTTTTGGTTCTAACGGTTTGACAATGCTGGGTTTGTTGCTCTGCCATGCACTGTGCATGAACACAGGACCAGTGCTAAGCTTTTAGGATGACAGCTGATGAAGCTGCCATCTATAGAGAACAGAACCTGCAGTGGGTGAGTGTTCTCTGGACGGTTCTTGGTTATTCTCAGTTCTGGGTTCACCATCGTAAACATCAGCTGTTGCAGAACTTTGACTCTCCATCTTCCAGCTTGTGAGCCTCAAAGACTGACACACTTTTCCTATAAATTAAAAATGGAAGAAATGCGGATTCATTTGCAAACTGGGTATATTTTAGAGCCCATTGTGATTAAAGACATGATAAAAGATGCCTGTGTCCCAGAATGGGCGTCTAAGGGTTGGAGCAGAAGTGATGCTCAGAGGGAAGTCTGGACTCATTCATGAGCAGCTCAGGTAGACGGCAGGTTGAGCAAACACAACATTTATCTGATGAAACGGTGAGAATATTGCTGCTTGGCTGCAGGAACACCGAGACAGCAGACAGCTC